AACGTATCAATCGTACTTACAGGTTGTGCTTCGGAGAGCTTGTTAGTCCAAATAAAGAAGATTAGAAGCCAACGAAGATAAAAGCCAAGATTAGAGAAGCAGACCTTGGTAAAATGACATGCACACAACAAAAGGTTTGAATTGTATTTCTGTGGTATCCTTGAACACAGCGTCTTTTCAACATGATGTAAACACACTAACTAGCGGAAGTGTTTGTGGGCAGGTAAGACTCTCGGACAGGCGGGGATTATGCAAATGTGTTACCCAGTGACGTATACCGGTAACAGGCAAAAGATTCGAAAATATGACGACTCGTTAAGGCGATTCAGAATCGACTCTGTCTTTTGAGAGACAATATCTTTATTTATCATGCACGTTTTTGATTAACAACTTTGCAGATTTTTATCATTTAAGGATAGCTGTGTTTTAAACTGCAAAAGAGATGTTTTTCAAAAACCCATATGACTTGCTCTTTAAGGTGCAGTCACATTAGCGAACATTTCGCCAGTAAAAAAAGGCCCATTGTTGATGCACTCTGAAAAAATAAAGGTTCTTTATTGGAATATATAGTTTCATGAAGAACCTTTAACATCCATTGAATCTTTCGATTGCACAGAAGGTGGAGAAAGGTTCTTTAGATACCAGAAATGTTCCTCACACTAAGACAAAAAATGGTTCCTTTAAGAACTGTTCAAGAAGGGTTCTGTGGCAAACCCAAAATGATTATTTTATAGCATCTCAGCCAAAACCCCCTTTTGAAAACTGGACTGTCTGAGACTGTAGTGTAGCAATGAATCACAGATTACACAAAAGTCACTTTCAAACCAAGCAGCTTGTTGGTCAACGTGGCAAATTCGCGTGACCACCTTGAACATGATGCGAAATATGAGTTGGAGAAATCTTTTACACTCACGCAACATTGCCAATCACGTGGATTCCTATTTAAAGGGGTCATATGATGTTGCTAAAAAGAACATTATTTGGTGTAATGAAATGTGTTTATGCGGTTTAAGGTTAAAAAAACACATTCTTTTCCACATACTGTACATTATTGTTTCTCCTCTATGCCCCGCCTTTCTGAAACGCGTCGATTTTTACAAAGCTCATCGGTCTGAAAAGCGAGGTGTGCTCTGATTGGCCAGCTATCCAGTGCGTTGTGATTGGCCGAATACCTCAAGCGTGTGACGGAAATGTTACGCCCCTTGCCATATTGTGATGATGCCCTGTCAGGCTGGAGCGATGATTCAAAAACATGAAAACCCATTATAAACGAGGCATTCGTTGCATCCAGTGGGGACATAATTATGGATTATAATGACTTATACTGTCTTTTTACGCGTTGTGTTGCATCGCGCCGCGGAAACATAAAACCATGTCTGCATTTGTGATCGGAGAAATGACAAGCAACAAGCCCTACTCTACAAATATAAAAACTCTTTAAATATAAAAAACATACTTAAAGTCTGTGAGTCAGAACTGCCGGCATTGTAGTCAACTCTACCAGGATCAGTAAACAGTCCTCCATAAAATGTGCTGCACACATCTGAATATTTGGGTTGAAGTGTTCTGGAACAGTGTTGTAAATACAACTTAACCACTGATCTCTAGTCCCGTGAATCAGTGGAGACCGAAAGGATGAAGTGAGTTTGCAGGCTATATTCCTTACGTAGGTTGCACATTCAAAACAGATTGTTTTAAATGATTTTATCCTGTTTTATACATTAATAAATTAAGACAGTGACTAAACGACCAACTTCGTGTTGGCCTTCATAGCAGCATGAAAAACGGTAGTGTTATTCAGATTTTAAATTATATACAGAAAGCGGGTAACATAATACAAGAACTCTTCCATCCTGTTATGAATGAAGTTGTCATTGCTAGTTTACATAGTTTCATGCGTCTACGTACACGTTTTGTGAAATTTAAAAAAATTATTTTGCGCAGACTGCAGGCTATATTCCTTACGTAGGTTGCACATTCAAAACAGATTGTTTTAAATGATTTTATCCTGTTTTATACATTAATAAATTAAGACAGTGACTAAACGACCAACTTCGTGTTGGCCTTCATAGCAGCATGAAAAACGGTAGTGTTATTCAGATTTGAAATTATATACAGAAAGCGGGTAACATAATACAAGAACTCTTCCATCCTGTTATGAATGAAGTTGTCATTGCTAGTTTACATAGTTTCATGCGTCTACGTACAGCATGAGCTCATTGACTGTCCATATGCAGATTTCTTCCATTATAATTCATAAAGCTGCCAACAATGCAGAATAAATCTCTTATTTACAGCATATTTTCACTTGCCATGTATATATATATTGGATGTTAAACCATCTACATTGAAAATTAGTGGTCTGATACAGTGGAATTTGACCTGTTGGTAAGTTAGTTCATAATCTTCATTATTTATTAATTGAACACATGCAATCTAGTCCCTTAGTGTCATGCGTCAACATAGGAACAGCAACAAACATCAGATTGTAAAGATTTAAAATATATTTAATCTTCGACTGCTGTTTGTGCAGGATACACATTTGCTATGTGTTATATAATGAACTTAATGAGATCTAAATAAATTGCTTTTCCAGATGACATCTTTAAATCATTAAATAACCATCGTTCACATGAGAGCTCATTCTGAGGTCACTTTGGCAAGCTGTAGTGTTAATAATATAAATCAGTTAATAGAGAGTAAACGGGGATAAACATGAGAGAAAAATAGGCTGTAAAACTTTAACTTGGTATATTTTTTCATGCCATGTATTTGTGCAGATAATAAATGCAGAGGATGATTCATTCTGCACGTGGCTCGTTCTGTTTGCTATTTCTGTCTCCACACTTCAGCCCTGCTCCTGGGAATCTGTAAAAAAAAACCGAGAATAAGCAAGCTATTTCCGTCTTTCTGAGACAATTATGCACAATCATTTTGACAAAATCCATATTCCCCTGAGATGTTTTGTACTTGTGAAAGCAAGCATCCTTTAACCTGCTCCGTCGAGTGTTGTAAGACTCCTGGTCATCGTCAGTGAGGTCAATAATTGTGAAAAATTGACACTTAAGACTGGTTTTGTGGTCCAGGGTCACATGGATATAGATATGTTTTTAATTTAGTTAACAAAAAATATTTTTTTTTCCTTACTTGATTTCAACAATTGTAACTCACAGACAGGAGGCTCTGCTGGCAGCCATAAGTGAGAAAGATGCTAACATAGCTTTGCTGGAGCTGTCTTCATCCAAAAAAAAGAAGACACAAGAGGAAGTGGCCCAGCTGCGGAGAGAGAAGGACCGTTTGGTGCAGCAGCTCAAACAGCAGGTACAGACTGCGTCACAAGGCTCCGACCGAGTGTATCTGTCTGTCCTCAAGGTCAAGTTGTTTGTTTGCTTTAAATTTTGAGTTGCTGGAGAACTTAAAAAGCCTAGACAAAATACATCTTTGTTTTGACTGGTGGGTTTCTTAATGCAAACGAGGTCTATTGATGTGCTTTTAATTGATCTCTTCTCAACCCCCACCCCCACCCCCACCCCCCACCACCCGTTCATCCGTTTCTACCCCCCAAATCTTTCCTTACATCTGTGCCTCGTCTTTTTTCCTAGACACAGAACCGTATGAAGCTCATGGCGGATAATTACGACGACGGCTACTTGAAAACACCCCCCGACCAGACCAACCACAAACCTCCAAAATCACCCGATCAGGTCACAATCCGGTCCTACAAACATCAGCAAACAGTTAAAGGGACAGTCCACCCCAAAATGAAAATCCTGTCATTATTTACTCACTCTCATGACGTCCCAAATCCATAAATAACATGAGGAAATGATGACAGCATGTTCATTTTTGGGTGAACTGTTCCTTTATAATTGTTACGCTCGTCAGCTTTTTTATTTAGTGGAAATTCAATATGGCTGAATATGAAATAATTGTACCGTTGCTGTATTTTGCTTATCACATATACATGAAAGCTTAATCTTAACAGCAAGCCAAAGAAAGACAAATTGGAGGTGTGGTCAGTTTCATTTCATTACTTGTTAATAAAATATTCATACTAGAAACTGAATTGGAAACGGATGCTCGGTCATCCATTTCCATTGCAGTCACGTCGTCGTAATTGAAATGAAGCTGCCTTCATCATCTACGCAGACGCCATCATTTCCTTTTACTGCCTTCATATTGATCATAACTTCTCAACCCTATGGATTTCTATTATTCATGACTGTAGAAATTGCCCCTAAGCACAGATCCAGGATCAGTTTCCTTTAAACCTCATAATTCAGCATTTCACATTGACGCGCTGAAAGCTGATCTTGCGTCTGTGCTTACGGGTCGTTTCTACCTGGATAAAAACGCATACTAACCTGATCTTTTTTCCCATGCTGCACTTGGCTAAAACCCTGCCATCTCTTAACCAATAGGATGATGAGGAGGGCATTTGGGCATAGCCTCACTGGCAGCCATTTTGTTTTTAGAAGGGTGAGCATTTCTTTGATGGACATGTAAAAGCCAATCTCAGCTGCCCTGTTCCTCCCCATGTGACATCAAACACTGCTTGTCTCGCTGTGCCTGTTTGAGATTATTGGCTATGTCACCGCAGTGCAAACAAGCTTTCCAGTGGGATGTTTTATTAACAAAGAACTTTTCATATTGTTTTGATATAAAACCTACACGCATATAACTCATTTAGAAATGCACTGCTATGAAATAGTCTACAATCTCATTTCTCCTGGTTTTGATTTTCCACATTTTGAAGCCTGTTAGCTCTTTGTATGTTTTTGTGGTTAAACATAATCCCAGATGGTGCATTAAGACTGTATTTCCCACACTCGCTCTCACCAGATTCAAATCCTTTTCTTCAGCAACAAAATCATTTTTAAACATGCTGATAAACAATTTTTAATTTGCAGGTTTACAAAATCATAAAATTTCCCAATAACTTAGTTACATTATTTACTTTCCATTACAGTACATGTATAATATAGCTAATAGCCAGAATACAAATAACATACAAAATTAAATTTGTATTTGAATTTTTAATAAAAATGTCAAGTACAAAGTTAAATATCCAATATAATAAATAATGTGCATAGACAGTGAGGGTTGAGGCCACATTGAGAATCTGAGATTCGAAACCTAATTTAAATCTGGAAAAATCAAAGAAAGTTTAAGCATTTGTTATATAGAACATCCTAAATATTAAAAAATTCTGAAATTATAGACTCCAACATTCAAATGTTTGGGACATTTCTTTGTTGAAAGTACATGTACTGTAAAATAAAGTGTAACCAATATTTCTATTTCATATAAATCCTTTCTATTCATCAAAGAATCACCAAAAAATATCAGTTTTCACAAAAATATTAAGTAGCACAACTGTTTTCAACACTGATAATAAAAATTTTTTCTTGAGCAGCAAATCAGCATCTTAGAATGAATTCTGAAGGATCATGTGACACTGAAGACTGGAGTAATGATGCTGAAAATTCAGCTTTGATCACAGGAATAAAATACATTTTAAAATATATTCAAGTAGAAAGCACCTATTTTAAATTATATTAATATTTCACAATATTACTGATTTTACTTTATTTTTTATCAGATAAATGCAGCAATAGTGACTTCTTGCAAATGCATTAAAAAATCGTTCTGACGTCAAACTTTGGACTAGTATATTACAATTAAATTATGATAGTAAAAAATGCTAGTATTAACCAGGGATGCTCATTTTGATTTTATTTCCTGACCAATAGCTCAAGCATGTCAACCTATCTTTAACAGTGCGTTTTCATTTTTTTTATTAATTAAAAAAGAATGACTTCCAAACACAAAATGCAGCCATTGTTATTAAATATATCCAATTGAGTTAGTCTAGCTAGAGGAAATTACTGCACGGCAGTTTGCTGTCAGTTTACAGAAACATCAACTAAAAAGTAAGACTTATTAATGTTTATCAGTATTTAATGAAACCAATGCTCACTGTAATCTAAGCATGACCCAGAATGAGAAAAGTAAAATCACATTAAGATGACAATGCTTGCTGCACCACCAGAATGATTCCTTATAAGAGTCCTCCTACAACAAAAACGGTCACAATAATATAATGAATTTTCACTGTTTTGGGTACTGTCTTGTCTCGTCTTATCATGTCTAAACGTGCGTTTTCATTTTTTTTATTAATTAAAAAAGAATGACTTCCAAACACAAAATGCAGCCATTATTATTAAATATATCCAATTGAGTTAGTCTAGCTAGAGGAAATTACTGCACGGCAGTTTGCTGTCAGTTTACAGAAACATCAACTAAAAAGTAAGACTTATTAATGTTTATCAGTATTTAATGAAACCAATGCTCACTGGAAGCTAAGCATGACCCAGAATGAGAAAAGTAAAATCACATTAAGATGACAATGCTTGCTGCACCACCAGAATGATTCCTTATAAGAGTCCTCCTACAACAAAAACGGTCACAATAATATAATGAATTTTCACTGTTTTGGGTACTGTCTTGTCTCGTCTTATCATGTCTAAAAAGCATGTGTTTGCATGCCAATACATCTTGTGTCTTTTAAAAGCACTGTGCTGATAGAAATTATGTGCTTGCAGTGAACAATATCAACCCCAGCAAGCTAAAGTTTGCAAATGCATGAGAACAGACTGTCTGTTTCCCATAATCCTCTGCGTGTGGTAGTAACAGTGTGTATGCTCTGTAGATAAGATATGGGCGGAAAGCTACAGTGCACAGGAGCTCTACACCGGCCACCTGATTATCCCATACAACCACCCCAAACCCCTTTACTTACACAATCAACTCAGCCCACATCTCATCACACCAGTTACCCAGGACCCACCGCCAGAGACCACACACACATTCTCACAGGTAACACTTACATGTTTGTGCATGTCAAAGCTTTTCAAAGTACTTTCAAATAATTTTCTAGGTGTGCATAAATGAGCAAATCATGAATTTTTATGTAATGGCTTCTAACTACTGATACTCATTTCTGTCATATAAAACAAAAAATAAAAACAATAATGATTTAATTTACATTTAGTCATTTAGCAGATGCTTTTATCCAAAGCAACTTGCAAATGAGAACAATAGAAGCAATCATAACCAACAAAAGAGCAATAATATGTGCTGTAACAAGTCTCAGTTAGCCTAACGCAGTATATGCAGCAAGGGTTTTTTATAATAAATAAAAAGAAAACAAGTAGTAAGAATATAATAGAAAGTAGTAAGAATTTTATTTTAAAGGGGTCATATGATGTTGCTAAAAATAACATTATTTTGTGTATTTGGTGTAATGAAATGTGTTTATGTGGTTTAAGGTTAAAAAAACATTATTTTCCACATACTGTACATTATTGCTTCTCCTCTATGAACTGCGGCCTTTCTGAAACGCGTTGATTTTTACAAAAATCATCGGTCTGAAAAGCGAGGTGTGCTCTGATTGGCCAGCTATCCAGTGCATTGTGATTGGCCGAATACCTCAAGCGTGTGACGGACATGTTACGCCTCTTACCATACTGTGATGCCCTGTCCGGCCGGA